GAGTTTGCATGTTCTCCCCGTGTTGGCGTGGGTTTCCTCCGGGTGCTCCAATTTCCCCCAGAGTCCAAAAACATGCGGGACAGGTGAATTGGGTAGGCCAAATTGTCCGTAGAGTATGTGTGTAAATGAGTGTATGGGTGTTTCCCAGTGATGGGTTGCAGCTTTAAGGGCATCCACTGTGTAAAACATATGCTGTATAAGTTGGCGATTCATTCCACTGTGGTGACCCCTAAATTATAAAGGAACTAGGCCGAAAAGAAAATTAATGAATGAATGAATGAATTCTACGTTTCGCTTAGATGTTGTCACTTGAGCTCTCTTGATGCTAGGGTGGCAAGTGTTAGCTTAAAGGGCCATGAAACCCCCTCGTTTCAGCAGGGTGTTTTCACACCTCTACTTTGGAAAAAGTCAGAAAAGTGGGCGTGTCCAGCTCTGTTTAGGGGGGAGGTTCGGAGGAAGAAAAGAGGCATGGTGTGGGAGTGTCTATTTGGGCGCGCTGAATTTAAGAGTCAAAACACACACACACACACACAGAGGAGACAAAGTGACTGTGTTGACCTTTTTGTGGTAGAAAGAGTTTACAGATTAGTAAGAGCTAGAAGATGATCTAAAGTCCCGCTTCAGACTAAAATAGTAAGTGTGTGTGTGTATACATGCAGTGGTCAGAATGTCGATAAGATGACTCAGACTCAACTTTATTTTCCCGTATAGGGAAACAACAATCTGGCATGGGTCTTGGGCTTTTCCAGGTGATTAAACAGGTAATTTAACAGTGGAAGATTAGCATCTTCAACTCCCCTGCTCTGTCTAAATGCAAACTGCAAAGGATCAAATTTATCCTTTGAATACAATAAAATCTCACCTTTAATAATTCTCTCGAAACACTTCATAACTAATGAAGTAAGGGCAACAGGTCTAAAATCATTAAACTCCCGCAGAAACTTAGTTTTGGCTATAGGAACAGATTTCTTCCAGATTTCAGGAACTCTTTGCAACGTAAGAGACTGAAGAAATGCAATGAAATATTTCAGAAAGTTGTTCAGCACATGTATGAAGCACCCTACCACCAATATTATCTGGGCCCGGGCTTTTTGTAGTATTAATTCTCTGAAAGAGGTCTGTGACCTGGGGTCCGTTCTTTGTACCTCGCTTAAATGATCTAAGATGATTTGGCAGATCCTGGATCTTTTAATCTTGATAACTTATCTCTGGCTAATTTGGTTCTTCAAACAAGTTCGTGAATCAGATTAGAATGTCTGGATAAACTGATCTGAGATCGCTGTGTGTGTTGTGAAGGACAGATCTATCGATCTTTGAAATCATAATCAGCAATGCAGCGATTGGCTGATGGCACAGCAGTGTAATGACATCATCTGATTAATATTCAATTATACATGTGAGCAAAATTACATCAAATTAGCAGGAAACGGTTTGCTAAATATGACACGCGATAACCTTCCACATTTGTTGTGAGCTGCAGGCTTTACACTTTCATGTGTCAAGAGTATTCATCATGTATTTAGTTCTACATTTAGAAAAGATTTTCTTTATTATAATAGCCGGTTTTTTAATCGCTGTATGGAATAACTGGATGTTTACAAAATCACTTTTGATAAAGGTGTCTGCAACTTTTGTGAAGCATAATCACTGGCATATTAACTGTCAAAACATGTTTATGACTGCATTAATGTATTATTTCTTTTTTTTAAAAGTCACATATTCTGCATTATTATTATCATACACAAATTGTACTAAAGCGATCTAAAAAGTTCATATCAATAAGTTTTCTCTTTGCACCACCAGGTGGCAGTCTTTGTACTTTCATTTCAGGGGTGCAGATTGCATAAGTTTTATTAATATATAACTTTATTTATTTTATTAATAACTTTATATATATAGTTAAAAATATTTACTATTTTCCCAATTGTATAGAACTACTACTGTAAGAAAATATCAGAATTCGGTACATGCTTTCTTTATTATCTTTGCTTGAACTGAGCCGATCTAATCCTGTTTATATGAATTGAACCTGCTTCCGATCAGGTTTGAGCTAGCAAAACTGTTGCTATGACAACAACTCTCGGATCAGCTTTGAAGAACAAAAAACGATCCTCCCAACCATTGTGTTCACACCTTGCCAGACTGATCTTCAGTTTTTGCTGCTAGATTGTTTCTGTATTTTCTGTTCCTTTATTTTATTATGCACAATATTGAATCATGCTAATCAAAACGCATAACCAAGATGTGTGTTACTGATAACATTGACACAATCACTTCAGCACTATCATCTCCATTAATCTGCATGATTCATTTTGCCTGAGAGGAGACTTTAATCTGCATACATATATTGTAAATTAACACACTAAATCAGCTGTACTCCTCATAAACGGTAACCCCACAAAAATATTTTTGATCAGTAATGACAGTTTATTTGCTCAACACTTATTCTACACAATAAACTGGCTAAAATGGAGAAAAAATTAAACCAAAACATTAAAAA